AAAAAAAAAAAAAAAAAAAAAAAAAAAAAAAAAAAAAAAAAAAAAAAAAAAAAAAAAAAAAAAAAAAGAAAGGCAGAGTAGATGCTTGATTATTTTGCTTTATTTCCCCTCAAAATAAAGATTTATTCCTTTGTGTGTGTGGTTTTAATGTATAAATCACATAGCTAGGGTTTAACTTATTTCTGATATTTTTTATTGATGTTTTTTAAATCCTCTTGAGGAGCCTCTTTTCAGGGTTCCCTGTTCTTTCAAAATGACTAGTAGTTTTTCATAGCACACTTCGAGGGGAAGATGTTATAGATCATCTTGTAATTTTTTTTTTCTTTTACCCATTCGCCTAATACACTTAAAATTTTTTGACTTATATCTGAAGTTAGTCTTTTAAGCAGCCCTATTTTCTTTTAGTAAGAAATGATATTTCATTATAATATGGGTGGTAGGGTCTTTGGTGCCGAGTTATAATGTATTGATTTGAGTTATTGGAAACAGCAAATACTTTTTTCAGTGATATCTAAAGTGTTTCAGTATTTTCTCATGTTTGTGTCTCATAATAACTAATATCTTGAAGATAATTTTGTAAATTTATCTTTGTGTTTTTTTATGTTTAACCAGAAGAGTTTCAGTGAATGCTGAGCGGTATTAGATAGTACTTATGTATTGTTCTGTGAATTTGGGAAGGTTTTCTAGGTATACTAGAAAATTGTGAAAAGCCAAATCTGGAATTGTGATGAGAAATACAGAAAATCTTTATGCATATAGTATGCTATAATTAAATTTTAAATTGGTGTCTAAGTCTTATGGTCATCAGACCCCAAAGTGTCATTTTGGGATACTTTTCATTATCAAAACCAAGGGAAGTAAACAGGTATCAGGGGAGAAAGACCTCAAAAATTAGTTTCTTGAACACACAGGCATTTATTTTCTTATCTAAAGGAAGACTAGAAATAATCTAAGGCTAGAATAGTGGTCCCACAGTTATTCCGGAACGTAGGCTCCTGTGTTTCTCATCTCCATCATGGAGCTTAGGTTCTAGTCTTTTTTTTTTTTTGGGGGGTGGTGAGGGGGGGACCAGTGTTTCGCTCTTGTCACCCAGGCTGGAGTACAATGGTGCGGTCTCAGCTTACTGCAACCTCTGCCTCCCGGGCTCAAGTGATTCTCCTGCCTCAGCCTCCTGAGTAGCTGTGATTACAGGAATGTGCATCACACCCAGCTAATTTTATATTTTTGGTAGAGATGGGGTTTCACCCTGTTGGCCAGGTTGGTATCGAACTCCTGACCTCAGGTGGTGCACCTGCCTCGGCCTTCCAAAGTGCTGGGATTATAGGTGTGAGCCACTGCATCCAGCCTTGGCTTCTAGTCTTAAAGCCACTGCATAGTCCGAGATTGCTGCTGAAGCTGTAGCCATTACATACCTGTATTTGTGATGTAGGTTGAGATTAGAAGAAGGATGTTCAGATGTCAAAAAGAGCATTTCTAGTCAAGAGAACTTTCTTCAAGTAGCCGTGTAGCATTTCTGCTTATAACTTACTGACCAGAATGTTGTCATTTGACCATACTAAGCTAAGGAGGAGAGTAGGTAACACAGTGTCTATTCAGAGCAGCAAAGAGCCTGGATAAAAATTGTGATTGTGTTTCTAAGGAAGAAAAGGAGGAATGGGTTTTGTGAGCCAGCTAGCTTTCTGCCATGATTTTCACACAAAAGAAACATAGCCCTTTCTAGCATTGTATTCTAGAATAAAGCTCATGTGAGATTTTTATAAAGACGATACTTGATTGAGATGTGGCGATGAGTGCCCATGGAAACAAGTCCAGTAGTGGAAACAATTCCAGTAGTGGAAACAAGGGTGAATTTTGCATAACTGTGTGCTAGGATATCATTTGATAAGGATCAAGAGTAGTATTTAAAATTTGTTTTCTGACTATAAAAGTTTGTGTCCATTGTGAAAAATTTAGGTAATAGATAAAAACATAAAGGTAGTTGATGGCTGTGCAGAGCTATAAGCATATAATGTTGCTTACCAGTAGAGGTAATTTTTTTTTTTTTTTTTTTTTTTTGAGACAGAGTTTCGCTCTTGTTACCCAGGCTGGAGTGTGGTGGCGCGATCTCGGCTCACCGCAACCTCCGCCTCCTGGGTTCAGGCAATTCTCCTGCCTCAGCCTCCTGAGTAGCTGGGATTACAGACACGCACCACCATGCCCAGCTAATGTTTTGTAGTTTTTAGTAGAGACGGGGTTTCACCGTGTTGACCAGGATGGTCTCGATCTCTTGACCTCGTGATCCACCCGCCTCGGCCTCCCAAAGTGCTGGGATTACAGGCGTGAGCCACCGCGCCTGGCTAAGTAATTCTTTTTGTACCTAGGATTCAGGCACATAGTTTGTCTTGATCCAATAATGGTAGAAACTGGATTCATTATAAATTTTTTTTTTTCAAGATGGAATTTTTGCTCTTGTTGCCCAGGCTGGAGTGCAATGGTGCAGCCTCAGCTCACTGCAACCTCCGCCTCCTGTTCAAGTGATTCTCCTACTTCAGCCTCCTGAGTAGCTGGGACTACAGGCGCCCGTCACCATGCCCTGCTAATTTTTTGTATTTTCAATAGAGATGAGGTTTCACTATGTTGGCCAGGCTGGTCGAGAACTCCTGACCTCAGGTGATCCGCCCGCCTTGGCCTCCAAAGTGCTTGGATTACAGGCATGAGCCACCACTCCTGGCCGGAAACATACAGATATTAGGTGGGACTTGCATTGGGCTGCAAGTTGAAAATCTTGTTACATAGTTCCCTAAACATATAAAGTGGTGAAGCTGACAACTTGTGAAAGTTTGAGTCTACTTTAGAAATCCCCATTGGATAAAATAATGTGTCACTGTAATCTTGAGTGCGGGCTCTCAGGCATACTTAGAGAAAAATGCAATTTTCTTAAAAATCAGTTTTTGTCCTTAAAATATTTACACTCAGTCGAGTGTCCAGTTATACCTTGGAGCATGGTCAAGATGTCAGTATTAAAACTTTTTCCATTGAGATGTTAAATGAAACAAAAACATAAAAGCCATGTGTTTTTAATAATGTCCCTTTTGGAGTAAAGGAAGTCTTTTCCAGAGAAACAGAATGATTTTTAGTACCTTCTTCATGGTGGCAGGTCCTTTGCTTTGAAATTGGTCACAATAACAATCTTCTTCTTGTATCACATGAATGAAATATAGGTGGTAAAAAAAACCGGTAACATTGCTATTCTTGTTTCTATAAATTATCAAACGTGGTTTGAATAAAAGTGGAGAAGGCAGACTCTTTGCTTATTTTTTCTTTAGAGAAAGGAATTGCAAACTAGAAAATCATGAGGACATTTTAAAAAGCTATTATGGGATATCCTGTTTGAATTGGTTCGAATAGGACCAATCAGAAAACAAATGAATGAATATTTTTGCATCACATATGAAAAATAGGTTCTTCTAATTGCCTCTGAGATTTTATTTATATTCATATAAATTTTTAACAAGCTTTGTCTTAGAGATTTTGTGTATTAATTTTAAAAGTATATAAATTTATTCATAGAATCAAACCGGTTTTTATTGTTTATATCCTTTAGTTATCCAACAGTTCAGTAGTTAATATAACTGGGTATTTACATTTGTAGGAAGCTGGAAGACTTCCGATTAGAGAAAGGTGAAGAGGAAAGAAATCTTTATATCATAGGAAGAAAAAGAAAGACTCTCCAGCTCTCACATAAGGTAAGGTAAATTTTGTTTTCTTAGCAAATTAGAAATCAAACTGATAACTCGAGATGGAAGTTAAAAAAAAAGAAATCAAACTGAAATTTTGAGCATTCTTTTTGATTTATAAAACTATCAGTAACTTTCATCTGAACTGGAGTACTTATTAAGGTTTTCTGTTTGGGATTTAAAATAGTAGACTTAAGTTTATATAGCAGTTAGAAAGGAGTAGTTTGAAAACTTTTGAAAAATTGCCTAGTGCCTAACAGTGATACTGAGTTCTTAATTTTAGTTAATACATTATTTGATTCTGAATTTTCATTTGGTTCTTTTTTTTGGTTTTTATTTTTCTACTAAAGTTCTCATTTTTTTAATTACTTGGAAATGAACCATAGCTATTTTAAAAACTGAGGTCGGATAATTTCATTTTTTCCATGTTATGTTTCCCCGTGGACCATTTTCTATTGCCTGTTGATTTTTGTCCTTTTTAATAATATTTTTGTTTCTTTTTTGATTGTTAAATATTTGTTAGAAAAGATTTGAAGCGTGGGATGGCTATGTCCCCAGAGAAGATTTACATTTGCTTCTGGCAGCCTGCTAGGACCACTCTCAAGCCTATATTGCCTTATCCAAACAGGAATGGGCTTTAGTTCCGTGGGATTACTGTTCTATCTGTAGTTTACTTACAGGTCTAGGCTGTAGCCCTTTGGGCTAACAGCCAAAGCCTGGGGGATTCCCCTACACTTAGGCTATGAATTGCAATTTTTATTAATCTAACTCATAACTTAGTCTGTGTTTTTTGCTTTCTTGCTAAACCTTTCAGCTTCCTCTTCCAGAATGAAATTCTAGGATTAAAAAAATATATATACATTATGATGTTCATTGTGGGCAAAAATAATAAAAATAAAAATATATACACATATATCTTCTCTTTTTGGTCTTGGTTCTGTAGTTCGTCATAGCCTTTGTAGGCATATTGTGCCTTTAAACAGATTTGTTAAAAAATACGTTTTGCCAGATTTTCGAGTTTTCTTTTTTCTTTTTGAGATGGAGTCTTGCTTTGTTGCCCAGGCTGGAGTGCAGTGGCATGATCTCAGCTTACTACAGCCTCTGCCTCTGGATTCCAGCAGTTCTCCTGCCTCAACCTCCTGGGTAGCTGGGATTACAGGCGTGTGCCATTATGCTTGGCTAATTTTTGTATTTTCAGTAGAGAAGGAGTTTTCTCCATGTTGGCCAGATTGGTCTCTAACTCCTGACCTCAGGTGATCCGCCTGCCTTGGCCTCCCAAAGTCCTGGGATTACAGGTGTGAGCCACTGTGCCTGGCCAGATTTTCTAGCTTTTTTTAGTGAAAGTTTGGTCCATTTCCGTGTTAACCTATTATCACTCATGAAACTCATTAATACAAGTTTTTGTCGAAATCAGTACTGACAAGGAAAATTCAGTTCATTTTGAGATCAGCCAGTGATAATGTTGAAATTCTAAAACTGACCAATGCTCATTAGACAGATGGCTACTCATGTGAAAATTGGTTTGTCCATCATTTAAGGAACATGCGCTCATTGGGTAATCTCATCTGCCTTTGGTGGTTTGGGAATTGCATGCCTTTAAAAAAAAAACAAAAACATAATTATTTGGCTAGTTTTGAAAGATTATTCTGTTTTGATGAGAATATGTTTAAAAAATTCAAAACTGAAAAGTACAGACAAATTATCTAAAAATTTAAAACCTGAAAATACTTATGGTTAGTATTTGAACATTAAAAAAACACTTTTAGCTTCAGGGATATATGTGCAAGTTTGTTATATAGGTAAATTGTGAGTCATGGGCTTAGTGTACAGATTACTTTGTTACCCAGATAATAAGCATTATACTTGATATGTAGTTTCCTGGTCCTTACCCCTTTCACCCTCTACCCTCAGGTAGGTTCTGATGTCTGTTGTTCCCTTCTTTTTGTCCATGTGTACTCAATGCTTGGGTCTCACTTGTGAGTGAGAATAAGTGGTATTTGGTTTTCTATTCTGGTGTTAGTTCGCTTGAGATAATGGCCTCCAGCTCTACCCATGTTGCGGCAAGGGACATTATCTCATTCTTTTTTTGGCTGGGTAGTATTCCACATTTTCTTTATCCAGTCTACCATTGATGAGCATTTAGGCTGATTCCATGTCGTATGCTATTGTGAATAGTGCTGCAGTGACCATAGGTGTGTATATGTTGTTATGGTAGAATGAGTTATATTTTTTTGGTTATATACCCAGTAATGGGATTGTTTGGTCGAATGGTAATTCTTTTTTAAATTATTTGAGAGACTGTCAAACTGCTTTCCGCAGTGGTTGAATTAATTTACAGTCCTACTAGCAGTGTATAACCTTTCTTTTTTCTCCGCAACTTTGCTGGCATCTGCTATTTTGGGATGTCTCCCCCCACCCTTTTTTTTTTGGAGATAGGGTCTCATTCTTGTCCAGGCTAGTGTGCAGTGGTGCAGTCATGGCTCACTCACTGCAGCCTCGACCTCCTGGGCTCGAGTGATCCTCCCTAGTAGCTGGAACTACAGGTTTGTATCACCATGCCCAGCTAATTTTTTGTTTTTTTGTTTGATCTTCTTTTTATTTTTGTTGTTTTTGTAGAGGCAGGGTTGCTCCATGTTGCCTGGGTTGGTCTCAAACTCCTGGGCTCAAGCAATATGCCTGGCTTCTCCTCCCAAAGTGCTAGGATTATAGGTGTGAGCTACGACACCTGGCCTTGGCTTTTTAATAATAGCCATTCCGACTAGAGTGAGACGGTATCTCATTGTGGTTTTGATTTGCATTTCTCTGATGAGTAGTATGTTGAGCATTTTTTTCTCTATACCTATGTGTATAGATATTCAGACATTCCTTGAGAGGTTGGTTACTACATCATAATAAATGAATATATATTTTTTATTTGAGATTTTTTTTTTTTTTTTTTTTGAGACAGAGTTTCACTCATGTTACCCAGGCTGGTGTGCAATGGCGCGATCTCGGCTCACCGCAACCTCCGCCTCCTGGGTTCAGGCAATTCTCCTGCCTCAGCCTTCTGAGTAGCTGGGATTACAGGCATGCGCCACCATGCCCAGCTAATTTTTGTATTTTTAGTAGAGACAGGGTTTCACCATTTTGACCAGGATGGTCTCGATCTCTTGACCTCGTGATCCACCCGCCTCGGCCTTCCGAAGTGCTGGGATTACAGGCTTGAGCCACCGTGCCCGGCTTATTTGAGATTTATACCTTTAAGGTGACATCCTATTCAGGTTATTGTTATTTTCCTTCATTTGTGGTAAACCAGTTGACTTACAACATAGTTTGAAAAATGCCCGTCTAATGTGCATTTTCTCATGTTTTCTAAGGACTTTAAAAGTAAAATTACTAAGCTTGAGTTAAAACTGTATGGCAAAAATATTACTTCTTTTTAAGCCTTTATTTTTTCATTTTGCCTTAAATCCTTTTGGAAACTTGATAGAATGCCCATTTTGTTAATACTGTCCGTATTTAGGTGTTGATTTTCATTTGCATGTTTCTCTCTGTTTCAGTCAGATTCAGTGGTTTTGGCATCACAGTTTAGACAAAGGACATGTAGGCGTAAATATCCAAATTATGGTAGAAGAAATCTTAGCTGGCGCCAGTTATCTTCTGGAAATGAGTCTTCAAGCTCCGTAAGACATGTGAGTAGTAAAACTTTAAAATGTTTTAAGATAATCTTATATGAATTTGTCTTAATTCTTTACTTTGAATGAATATACCCCAACTTTATATGAAAATACAGCATTCTCCAGAGGTTAGTATAAAATTTCACATTTTGAATGTTAACAAAAACATTTAATGACTAATTTAGTCACACACTGTATACTTGTGCAATCCAGTGGTTTTACATATTGAGCATCCCAACTCAAATGTGAAATGCACCAAAATCTGAAACTTTCTGAGTACAAACGTGATGCTCTAGTGTGCATCAGATTTCAGATTTTGGATTTTTGGATTTGGTATGCTCAGCCTGGAAGTACAAATGCAAATTTCCCGAAATATGAAAAAATATGAAATCTGAAACAATTCTAATCCCAAGTGTTTGGGGTAAGGGGTATATAACCTGTAGTATATTGACAATTGGGCCATCTTCACCCCTATTAAAGTTTAAAACATTTCGTCATCCCTAAAAGAAATGCTATTCCCATTTGCAGTCACTTGCCATTCCTTCCCTCTCCTCTAGCCTCTCACTATCACTAATATTCTTTCTTTTTCTGCATGTGCCTGTTCTGGACATTTTATATGAATGGGCTCTTTTTTTTTTTTTTTTTTTTTTTTTTTTTTTTTTTTTTTTTTTTTTTTTTTTAATGTGGAGTCTCCCTCTGTCTCCAGGCTGGAGTGCAGCTCATTGCAACCTCTGCTTCACAGGTTCAAGCGATTCTCCTGCCTCAGCCTCTGGAGTCGCTGGGACTATGGGCACGTGCCACGATGCCCAGCTAATTCTTGTATTTTTAGTAGAGATGGGTTTCACCATGTTGGCCAGGATGGTCTCGATCTCTTGACCTCATGATGGTCTTGTGATCCGGCCTCCCAAAGTGCTGGGATTACAGGTGTGAGTCACTGTACCTGGCCGGATGGGCTCTTAAAATACGATTTTGTGACTGGCTTGTTTGACATTGCATAATGTTTTCAAGGCCGATGGTGTGTAGCATATATCAATACTTAATTCTTTTTTATTTTTTATTGCCTGGTAATACTTCATGGAATGTACTATATTTTGTTTATCCATTTATCAGTTGATGGACATTTGTATTGTTTCCACTTTTTGACTGTCGTGAATAGTGCTGCTTATCAACATTAATCACAGGTTTTTGTTTAGACATATGTTTTCATTTCTTTTGGGTCACGCTAGGAGATGATATGCTGGGTATTTTGGCAACTTGTATGTTTAACTTTTTGAGGACCCACCAGACTTCTTTAGACTGGCTCTACCATTTTATATTCCCACCAGCAATATGAGATTTCAGTTTCTCTACATTCTCACCAATGATTATTATCTTTCCATTTTATTTAAGCTATCTTAATGGGTGTGAAGTAGTATCTCTTGGTTTCAGTTTGCATTTCCCTAATGACCGGTAATGTTGAACATGTTTTCATGTGCTTATTTAACATTTGTATATATCTTTGGAGAAATGCTTATTCAGATCTTTGCTTATTTTTCACTTTTTTTTTTGGTCTTTTTATTGCTGTAAGAATTCTTTATTCTGGATACAGTTCATTATTAGATATATGACTTGTAGAAATTTTCTCTCATTCTGTGGGTTGTCTTTTCTCTTCTTTGGTGATGTCTTTTGAAGGATAAAAGTTTTAAATATTGATGAAATTTATTTTATTTTTTCCTTAGTAGCTTGCTCTTTTGCTGTTGTGTCTAAGTCTTTGTTTAATACCTTTGATTGATTTTTAAGAATTATATGTAAGCTGTTGGTCTTCATTTTGATTTGAGGGAGAAACCAAGTTTTTTCATAAAGAGTATTTAATAGGCCAGGTGCAGTGGCTTACGCCTGTAATTCTAGCACTTTGAGGCCGAGATGGACAGATCGCCTGAGGTCAGGAGTTTGAGACTAGCCTGGCCAACACGGTGAAACACCATCTCTACTAAAATACAAAAATTAGCCAGGCATAGTACTGAGTGCCAGTGATCCCAGCTACTTGGGAGGCCAAGGCAGGAGAATCACTTGAACCTGGAAGGCGGCGGTTGCAATGAGCTAAGATTGTGCCACTGCATTCCAGCCTGGGTGACAGAGCAAGACTGTGTCTCAAAAAAAAGGAGTATTTAATATTATGGCATTAGCATTTCCTGATTTAGTAATGTTTTGAGGAATGAGGTGTTATGTATGACTGAAAAGTTCATTTAATTGCCTTATGATGCAGTAGGTTAGTAGTCAAGCATGGGGTTTGACTTTAAATCCAAAATCTTTTACTTTGCCACGTTGCTTAGCTTTTCTGCACCTCTGCCTATGTAATATGTACCTCAGAGGTATGAGAATTAATTAATAATGTAAAGTGTTTAAAATAGTGCCTAATAATGTTAGCTATGATTATGATTAAAACCATCAATGTAAACTATTTTTATTTTTTTGAGATGAGGTCTTGCTCTGTTGCCTAGGCTGTAGTGCATGGTACAGTCAGGGCTCACTGTAGCCTCAAACTCCTGGGCTCCAGCTATCCACCTGCTTCAGCCTCCCAAGTAGCTGAAATTAACAGGAACAAGCCAGCCTGCCTGGCTAAACTATTATGTAATCAAAATGTTTTAGCATTCGTTTTTTTTTGAGGTGGGGTCCTGGCTCTGTTGCCCAGGATATAAATATAAATAGGAAGTAGTTCTTTTATTATCTGTCATTTTTATGCTGGCTGACCTTTTTCTTTTTTCTTTTTCTGCATATATATATTTATTCCGAAGGTTCTGTGTGTAACTTCCATTGTATGATTTAAGCAATTGGATAGTCAGGTTATATCATGGTTTGGAATAAAGGGTTATAGACTTTGCCTTTGGGAGGAAGGTTTAGTACCCTACTGTGGAAATAACTATTTTACTATGCAGCTCTTTTCCATCCTCTCCCCCTCAAGTACCTTGAATTTGCCTAACATAGTAGACATTGAATAGCTTCCCTTGGGAAAACGGTTATACATAAGGTCATTCTAGAAAGGCTAGGGTGGTATGTAGTGGCATTATCATTATTGATGTGGAAATACATGAGTTATTATCAAGGATATACAAAATCAAAGAATCAGTACGTAGGAAGTGCCATAAAAAGGGCTAAACATTAATGCATTTTAATGCCTGGAGGGCACTGTTCTAAATGTTTTACACGTTATCTAATTTCATCATTTCAACAAGTAGGAATTAAGGCACTCCTATAATCTCTTTTAAAAATGAGGAAACTGAGGTATAGATACGGGGCTTCAGTAACTTTCCCACGTTTATATAAAAAGTTAGCAGCGTGATTTCAGAGCAGAAACTCTGCCTTCTGGAAGCATCAATTAATTTGAGGATTTGGGGAAATTAAACTTAAAAAAAATTATTGAGTGCTTCCTATTTGCAAGGCGTAAATTTTTTATTTTAATATAATTTCAAACGTAAAATTCTAAGAATAATAAAAAATTCCTTTGTGTTCACCACTCTGAATATTAGCACTCTCCTGTGTGTATGAATATGTTTTAATCCTTTTGACAGTGAGTTGTACATATGCCTCTTGATATCAAGTGATACAATTATCAAAATCAGGCTGGGTGCAGTGGCTCATGCCTGTAATTCTCAGCACTTTGGGAGATGAACATGGGAGGATTGCCTGGGCCCAGGAGTTCAAGACCAGTCTGGGCAATATAGGGGACTACCTCCTCTGCAAAAAAAAATAAGAACAAAAAGATTAGTTGGGGGTGGTGACACACCTGTAGTTCCAGCTTTTCTGGAGGCTGAGGCGGGATGATTGCTTGAGCCTGGGAGGGCGAGTCTGCAGTGAGCCATGGTGGTGCCACTATACTCTAGCCTGGGTGACAGAGCAAGACACTGTCTCAAAAAAAAAAAAAAAAAAAAAGAGACAATAAACAACAACGTAATGTTATGATCAGGTCTGCAGATCTTACTCCGATTTTTACCAGTGAGTGGTCCTGATAATTTTCATAGCAAAAGAAAATCTTAGGTCATGTGTTACATTTTGTTGTGTCTGTTTAGTAACCTGAAATCTAGTCTCGTTTCTCAATTTTTGTTTTAATGTCGATGTTTTTTGACGATCCGTCACTGGTAGTTTTGATGAGTAGGGTAATGCATTTTTGGCAGTAATACTACAGAAAATACACTGTTCTTCTCAGTGCATCACATCAGAAAGCAGATGATTTGTTTTGTCCCACTACTGGTGATATGTGCTTTGATCATTTCCTAAGGTGGTGGTGTTTGCAGGTTTCTCTATGGTAAAATTGCAGTCTTGATTGTTGGATTTACTCCTTGATTCGTGGGCTGAAGAATGGATGTGGTGTTAGCAGTCATGAAAACATTAATCTCCTTTGACTCCCCATCAGAGCTCTTTGGTAACTAGGTATCTTGTCCATGAGCAGTAATATTTAGAAAGGAGTCTTTGTTTTTTTCCTGCTCAGTAGGTCTCAACAGTGGGCTGACAATATCCAGTAAACCATGCTGTAAATAATGCTGTAAATAGATGTGCCATCATCTAGGCTTTGTTGTTCCATTTCTTACACATAGGCAGAGCATACTTAACATAGTTTTTAAGGGACCTGTGATTTTTGAAAAGGTAAAAAGGAGCACTGGCTTCAATTGAAAGTCACCAGTTGCATAACCCTGCTCATCAAAATTACCTGCCTCCCAGGTTCAAGCGATTCTTTTACCTCAGCCTCGCGAGTAGCTGGGATTACAGGCGTGAGCCACCAACGTGCCTGGCTAATTTTTGTATTTTTAGTAGAGATGGGGTTTCACCATCTTGGCTAGGCTGGTTTTGAACTCCTGACCTCGTGATCCACTCACCTTGGCCTCCCACAGTGCTGGGATCATAGGCGTGAGCCTCCGTGCCCTGCCTCATCTGCATTTAAAATCTGTTATTGTAGCCACCTTCATTGATTATCTTGCTGCTTCACCTTATACTTTTATGTTATGGACATGCTTTCTTAAACCTCATGAACCAATCACTGC